TATATATTGGCATCTGTAAAAATATTGCGTTGAAGATTATTTGGCATAGTGCTAAGTGGCACATAATGTATATGTCATTATTTTATAAGAGTTATACAACAGTTCTTAAGTTCTCCAATTTCGAAGTAATTTTGCCCACATCTTGGGGATTTATTACTAACACAACTGGTGAATATTTTGTTGATTAGTGTTCGGTATGGCCTCTGTGCGTGAACTGTTGAGGGGGCTACAAGTAGGGAAAATGGTTGGTGCTTACATTTCCTTTCGGTCCTCGCACGCAGTTTATTCATGATCACTGGAGAATAAATGCACAAGTAAAGTTGAATGGAGTACTTTTGCTCCAGGATCGGGCGTTGTGACCCCCTGTATAGCAGGCACTGTAACTAGCTTGCCACTTCATGGATCGTCTGTGAGCAAGGTGGTCGGGGGCAAATGATGGCCCAAGTTGAAGATGATGGTCGTTCTGAGTGGGCACACCCTGCCTACTCAGTCAGGCATGACAGAGGAGAGGATCAGCTACAGCATGGTTTTGCCTTTGCTGGTGTCATAAAGTATTGGGTTTGTTTAAGTCTTGGGTCGGAATTGTAGGGACTAAATGCCCCCCGTGGATCCATTTTTTTTTTCTTCTGAAATCAGTGACGAGGATGAAGCCAACCCAATGGTCGCCGGCTTCCAGGAGGAGCTCGATTCCGACGACGAGGTGTCAGTCTTCAAGCCCACCAGTTCCACCCAGCAGGCCCCACCTCTCACCAGCTACGACGTGGACCTGTCCAGCGAAGAGGATGATGAGCCCATCGTGGCAAAAGACAGGGACTTATCCGACGAAGACCATACGCCCATGGCATCCTCAGTGTCATCGTCAAGACAGCACAAGCCAGACCGAGGGACAAGTGTGCCGTCAAGTTCCCCCGGAGGAAGAAACGGTGGCAAATCGAAGATGACCAACAAGAAGTCAAGAGAGAGTGATGGAGAATCACCGTTGTTCCCCGAGCAACCGGCAACCACAGACAGTGTCAGCGAGAACGAACAAAGTCAAGAGGTAGGCTAGAGTTACCTGACGTTTTGCCCACGCTGCTTGACCCGAACTTGACCTTATTTCCTAAAGCTTGCCCCGAGAGTCGGGATGAAGTTAGACCAAGACATCAATTAAGGGAATTTCCTCAATTTGAGGAAACACTGATGCTTTGCCACAAGAGCTACCTATGACTCAAAACTGTAAATCAGCTTTTACACGACAGAGAATAAGTTAAAGTCTAAGAATTTTCAATTAAACAGGCTCTTGATTCATCAGTCACTAAGTAACCGACTGGATGCAACTTTGCTTTTTCTTGGTAGCACATCAGTAGAACATCAAGCCAGACCACCGACCAAGACACATCGCCTGTTTCCCCCATGATCCAACTCCAGCAAGAGGACTTCAACTTCCTAGAGAACGTTGGATCTTCCAAGAAGCCTAGCCTAAAAAGTAAGCCAGTAATCTCTAGACAGAACTGTTCACTAAAAAAAACCCTGATTTTGTCCTGTGACAGTATTTCATCAGAGTTTGTTGCAATGAAGTGTCAACTACCAGTGAGAAACTAACTTGAAAAATGATCGGACTGAGATTTGAACCCAGGACCACCAGAATGCTGTTTTGGGGGCTCCACTGACTGAGCTACAGGGCCTTCACCCTGCAGATTTGCCCAACGAGAATTTCGATACTGTCCTGTAAAAATTTCCGCAGCCTTCCAATGATGCATAATATGTGGCCGTACTGAAAACCAGCTTCGGAAAGAAGAGTTTGTCCTCGGATGTGTAGCTTACTGTAGGCTGGAAGAAAATGTGATAAAAGGAGACTGAAGGAAATGTCAATTTAATTCTGTGGGGATAGGTCTGGTAGGCCCATAACAACTGGCTTTTGCATTGGGTTTGGCATACCTCAGAAAAACCAAGTCCAACAGCCTCTGTGCACAAAGTCCCACATGGGTGTATAACTTGGTGTGAATGGGGAAGGTTAGGGCCAGCAACCCTTCGGGGGTTAGGGTTAAGATGGCACAGTGAAAGCTGTGACCATACCACATGATGCTTGTGCATCTCTCTTCCCCTTGTTCCCATGTTGACTCTAGATCACAGAACGCGCAAGATTTGTCCAACAAGATTTCATGAAAGCTAGCCATCAACAGCGCCCTTGGCTGTGGATGATTGATGCAAGCAAATGCGAATTCTCAACGGCAGGTCTCATTGTCTGTAGAATACTCAGAGTTTTATTTCCTTGCCTGTGTTGAAGTTTGTCGGTACTTTCCAATTGACAGAGAGGCCCTCCCTGCCAGCGGATGACTTTGACAATCTCCTGTCTGTCACTAAGGACGAGGACATCAGTGACACGGACACCATGACGAGCACCAGCACCAGCAGCTCAGCCGTCAAGAAAAAGAAGCACAGGAGCAGGGACAAGGACCGGGTAAGTTGGGCAGCTTTTCCCTCCCTAGAAATTTCAAGCAGTGGCGAGAGAGCTCCTTGAGCGTCTTGTCTCGGCGGCCTTTGCACTGTACGGGCAAGCCTTGAAGTCCAATACGCCTCACGGTGCCCCCGTGCGAGGTGCAGGAGGAAGCCCACTGTGGACCGTTTCAGAGTCACTGTCTCGGGTCAAGTTCACAGAGCTGGCAAGCACAGAAATTGGCTAAACACAGGGGAATGTTTGTTTTGCAAAGCCAGGTCACCAGCCCGGATGGCATGTGAAGGGTGCTGCTTGTAACTGGTTCTCTGTGCGTTCCTGCTCAGCCCAGAAATCCGCTTAAAATTTTTTATCTGACTAGCTGCTCCATAGAAGTGGGCATTGACCTGCCTTCTGGGAGACCGTCTGAAGCACAGTCGATGGATATTGGGACATTCTGTCTTTAGTAAAAATCACGTTGTCCGCTCTCAAGCCCAAGGTTCACTTTAGAGACACCATCTTGAAACTTGTCAGAGAAATCCACAATGTCGTCTTCAAGACTCATCGATCCACCCCCCTTTGCAGGAGGACGACAGGGGCTCACGTAAGCACAAACACAAGAAGCACAAGGAGAAGAAGCCACACCGAGGAGAAGAAGTCGCACCAAGCGAGAAGGAGTCCCATCGCGACAAGGGGGACAAGGAGAGGAAGAAGAAGAAGTCGTCGTCGTCATCGGCCAGCAAGGAGGACGGAGAGGCCTACGCCAAGACGAGGAAGGAGTACGATGCACTAGAGGCCTTCCTGGAGGGACCCGGCTACGAAGTGCTGTGAAGAAAGTCCCTCGACGAATCGCGCGTGTGCTGCCACTTTGCATGACCAAAACCCTCCTCACAGATGTCTGCAACTTTACACTGGATGGTTGTGACTGCACTCGATCCACTGCTGTGGGGCCCCCTAGGTCTGAGATTCATGGGGGGGCTTCCGAGCAGAAAAGAATTGTACAGAGGGGAAATATGTGCCAATCAAGTAGTCGAAAGCCAGCCAAGGCAATAAACTCAACGTAACATTACGGCCGGTAACTCGCTTTTGCTCAGCCAAAGGAGCTCTGACGCCTATATTAAATTCAAATATTGAGGAACAGCTCAACAAGACTTCGGCCGGGTTATCAGTTTTAGCTCAAAGTAATCGTGTTCGCCTGGAGCAGAAGCACCCCCACAGTGGCTGAAAAGAGCCATGTTGGTCGGGGGTGTTCATTTTGTTGGTAGCAATTTAATGCGCGCATTTCCTCGTTGTTTGTGAACCTAAGGAGCCTGCGTCGCTAGGGAAATCGCACCCTCTATCGGCCCAGCTCGGGGGCTCCTAGCAGCCGAGGTCAGCCGTGTCTGTAAAACGGACTGGGCAGCAACGGTCTCACACTCAAGTTTGCTAAGCAACAAAAGAGAAGAGTTGCACTTAACCAAAGCTGGACTCCCTTGCTTGGTTTTTCCCTAAGAGCAGAAATTCACCAAGGAAGAAATTTCCCACGTGGCATGTAATGTTAGTCGTATTCACTCTTTCACTGAACAAAGCTGATTTACAAACACGCTGTTTCATTCTACCCAAAAAAAAAATTCAAAAAGTGCAAAGTTTTCTTCAAATTGGTAACCAGTAAGCATGAATGTGTCTCATTTGTTTGAAGAAGTATGCAAGTGTATTTGATGTTAGACACAATTGTAAGATGATCCTTTGTTCAAGTTGATTGACAAAGCAAGCAATGCAAAGATTTAATCAGTTCTTGTTGTAAAAGTTCATGTACATAGAGCAAAGAGGTCTACCGGCCTGAATAACGCCAGCGGCCAGTCACACAGATTTACAGAGCAGGTGGGACATGTCACCCCTTCCAAATGTGGAGGGACCCATGTTTCGTTTGGTCCGGCCTCAGAAGCCAGTCCATGCATCTGATGCTGGAATTACCTCAGTGGAAGACGATGCCTGAGCTCAAGTTCCCTAGCCAAACTGCCTACTTTCGTTCACGTAACTGATACTTTGCTGTTGGGCGAGTAAATTTGCTGAGCAAGGTTTTATGTAAGGGGGCACTTATCTCTTCAAACGCTAATGAGCAATGGAGGCCAAAGTTGACGGAAAATGGAATGAACCAGTGCGGTATTCCAACCGTACATGCCCAAAATGCTGCGCATCTGATGTGATTTTGACGCACGTGCGAGGGTCTGCCCTATCAACACGGCCCTACACAGACACGTGCGCGTGATTTGATCTGCAACAACTGGCTCATTGTGTCCATTTTCACGATGACAATCCACTATTTATTACAATGGTATCCATCCATCAGGAATTGGAATTTTCAGTTTCTTAATGAGCTTTGCATTTTTACATCTCTGCACAGTAATATCTTTTTCTTCTTGTGTACTTGAGCGCCTATAATTCCAACTCGACCTGAAATGGAGCCAGTCCCAGCTGTCTGCCCGAGGCAGTCAGGATCGTCCATGAAATAACTGTACACCACAACTTGTTGAAGGCCCGACACTCTGGTTTGTTCTAACATCCCCTAACCTCAGCTAGGTAGGACTCGGCTAACAAATTCACACTTTGGAGTTGTCTCCCTAAATTGCTCGAAGGTGAATATACATGAATTTGCAGTACATGTGTACATATGAGCCCTAACAGTCCCAAATCCTCCGATTTCAATGTGATTTTACATACATCCTAGCTGTCCCATTACTCTAACAAAAACTCAAAAATTGGCCTATTTTTAAGTGGCAGGTTTACTGCAAATGAATTCTGTAAAGTTTTCAATTTGTAACAGGTTGGGCATCATTTTGTGAATGGAATGTGATATCGTTTTGTTTTTTTTTGAGGGGGGGTTAGGATGGCGGGTGGGGTGAATGTAACTGAGATATTTTAGTACTTACTGAAAAAGAAAGCTGTGTTTTTGTTGTAAACAGTACTGTATTGAAGAAGTATTACTCACCATGCTTAGGCATGTGCTGTATTGCTCCATGGAGCCAGTGATTTTTTTGCATTTTTTTAATCATTTGTGTTGACTTCAAAGTCATTTTAAATAAGTGAAACTCTTTGTGGGGATATTTTCATTGCAATCATTGAAGGAGCTAAAAAAAACCGCAATAATTATCGATTATGTTGGTTATACTCCCAGTAGACACAGTCAGACTGTGACGAAGGTCATAGCTGGATCATTTAGCAGTGGGTGGAAATAGGACATTAACCTGTGGGAAATAGATGACGCGGCTGGCTACCATAGAGGTACAGGCCATGGTTAGCCACAGCCAAGTCATTCAGGCACGTCCTTAGCCACATGGGGATGAAGCATGTAGGAAACTGCTCGACGTTAACCTACTCATGTAGGAAAGTGTGAGACAGCACCTGTGCAGGGAATGGGCTGGTCAGTGGTTCGAATCTCCCTCCGGACAATTTTCTTTTTCTGTGTCAAAGAGGAGCAAGCCCCACACCAGGCCCACTTAAGACCAATAGAGGGTTTGCGTGGCTGCCATCTTGCAGACCAGAGCTTTTGTTCCATGGGGTATGCACAAAGAATTCCCTGTGGAACAAAAGAGCTGCCCTGCAAGATGGCTACCATGCATAGCCTCTATAGGAAATGACCGATCTCTCTGTCCTGTCAAGAGTGCAACCCTGCTAGATTTTTTCTCCCCACCCCGGAGATCTCATCAGATTTGTCGATGTGAACAAAATTAATCCATGTTTCAAAGGTATCCCTCATGCTCCTACGGACTTTGCCCTGTCTAGTTTGGGAATAACAGCTGGAAAAATCACTACATGTCTGTAAACTCCTCCTCTAAACTTGTATTCACTGCACAAAGTCCACAGCTTCCCAGCAAGCCCACTCCATCATGTAGCTCACGTTGATTTTCAGTGCGACAGAATTGTGTTTCAACATTACCATTCTTGGAAGAGTGCAGATTATGTAAATCTTTGCATTGAGCGACTCAGAGGTGCAGCTGTCCGCTTTTTTAGAGAAAAAAAACCAGCTGTGTTCTATGTCAATGTAGAAACCAGCCATGATTTCTGGGTGTGTAGAAATGAATGTCACTTTTCCTATAATATACCATCTTTAGTGTAAATTGTGTACTGACGCATCAAAGATAAACGGCGAAGGATTGGCATTTCCTATGCAAAAATTACAGCAAAGAATGAAGTGGTCTATCATCCAATCCATAATTTTTCGGGTATTACTGTGGAATATGGCAGAGATCAAGTGACATTCATTTTCAATTATAATTCCAGTTTTCTGCTTTTGGGGGTTTTTTTTACCGAGGGGGTCTATGTCTTAGTGTGATTTTTTTAATCCACTCCAGGAATTATGCGAAAATCCGCTCCTTGTATGGTCATTAAAAATGTCAATATGTAAATACTTGTAAACCTTAATATAATGAAAGACATTATAGAGGTGTATTGCGACATGACCATTACGTAAGCTGGATTAAAGTGGGAATTAAAAAAAATCAAGAATCACCAAAACTACAGAACTAATTTTCACCTGGCTGTTATTTGTGATTGTACTGAAATTATTGACTGCTGTTGGGCAGTGTCTGGCTGAAGTTGAATTCAGTTGGAAAGCACCGGAGTATTCTACCTTGCCCACGAGATTTCAGTTGGACAACGAAATAATGCCGCAGAAATACACCAGCCATGTCTGTAGTCACATAGCACAAATGCTTCTGAAGCAGTCACTCACCTGCAGAACTTCATTACAGCCGTCAACAGAGCATGCAGAGAACCAAGCTGGACACTGCCTTCACACCTTCCTCCCCAATCCTTGCCTTTCTTTCCAATTAAAAAAACGGTTGTCAAAGGTCATGACCCTGCAACCTTTCACCTCTGACCTCTTCCCATAGCCAAATCATGGAGATACAGGTAGGATAGAGGGTTTCCATCTAAAAAGCATGCAGCGTTAGTGTTCCACTCTAAGCTAGTAGCCACATGCAAGACATAGCACCAACTCACAGCTACTTTTCCTTTCCACTTGACATTAGAAGTTGTGAGATTTTAAGAGGCAAGGGAGTTCTAAAATCTCTGGCCATCGCATGGAACTTGCCAGTCAAGGTTCCCTAGAGAAATTACTGTGCCTTTATTTATTAAGGGACACATCACAGTGGGACAAGATTAAGACCGGTCACTGATCCAAGCAACTCCGTAAGCAACTTCATTGAATGCATATACGATCTTTATTATATACAAATCCCGTCATGATTGAGCATGAAATACATTACATTTCACCAATGTTAACAGCGACAACAGTGCACAAATTTAATTTGAATAGGGTAACGTTTGGAGGTAGGAAACAAATGGGATTAATCACCGCCACGGAAACTTTTAATTCCTTAAAAAAAAAAGAAATCATGAGGGGAGAGAGGATTAACTGTGAGCTAAAAACCTATTACAAAGGGAATACAGGAGAGGCACCATTATAATATTCCTGATTACTAAATTCTTAAATGTTTTGAATCGGTCCCATGACTGAAAGAAGACTGTACACCCTTTAATTTGAAAACTCGCCATTGTTACAAATTAATGGTACACAAATTAATCATAAATCTTCTTGCTAAAGATGTTGGTGATTACTGACGATCAACACGAATGCTGCCCAATGCTCACGGGCGGAGATTTCTTGTCACACTTGGGGGGGGAATGATTTCTGACAGCTCAGCACGGCCTCCATCCCAGGTGAGATCATGATGCTGGAGTTGGTAGTGCAGGCTAAGGGTGTACATAGTGACTTTAAAAAGTGGGGGAATATTTATATTGGTAATTCCCCGGGGTCAAAAAGTGGGGGGCAGGACCTACCCCCCCCCCACTTTGTGGCTATTTGACATCCGCATGGCTGTGCACTAGTGACTAATGCTACTTTTTCCCGCACTACATCGGCATTTGTGACTCGTTTCACTCATGGTTGATTAACTGTTGCTTTGAGTTTTATCACAGTAGTCTAGCAAAAGGCCGATCCAGTAAGTTCAGGCATGCAACTTGGACTTTGACAAAAAAAAAAAGGACAAACTGACTTTCTTCAATGTTTTTCAATTTTCAACGGCATGAGTGTGAAATGAAAAAAACAACAAAGATATCAGCTGATCGGGGGAAAGTTGCATTCCTGAGTGAGCCCCGCCCACTGCTAACATGGGCACCAATAACGTGTTCTTCTCCAATGCCACACTCAGGGGGAGTTTAGTGGAAAACAATATATCCACAAAACAATCAGCAGTGGTTTAGAGGTCCCTACAGCAGCGTAGGGTCTACGGTATACATGTATATTTATGTTTGCCTACTTGCGTTCTACATCAACACCTTTCTGGTATACTCAGGAGCCTCAAGATTTTAAAAGGGATTGTTTGGAAAATTCTGATGAAAAAAAAAATCAAGAAATCGGGCAAGATATTGATGAATCTCACCTCTGCACATTACGTATTCCAGCCATGCCTATCATACACGCGTGCATGCATGCCAGACTATTATGCGGGTATCCTGGACATAAATTATGGCCGGTCAGAAAACAATGGGCGGGGGCTTAAGGGATCGGCCGATTTGGTGGGAGGAACGTTGCCTCTCCCCGAAACAATTCCACAGAGAACTACACCTGAGCGACCATCTTCCCCCAATCTCTGGCTCTACTTTAAAAATTTGCCACAATTAATGCATTTGCAATAAAATGATTAAATTATTAATTACATTAAGGGGATGAATTGTACACTATTTTCATGAAAACCGATTTAGAAAGTGTGCTTAGAATGAAACATAAATACGCAATAAAAGTACAGGAAAATGGCTGGAGGAAAACTCACTTCGGCTTTTTATGACAGCCTTTTTTTAAAATAAAAAATAGATCTCTCAAGGACTCTGTACTTTGGAAACTGAAGTCTGCCAAAAAAAGACAAATCTCATATTGTTGGCTGTCCATTTCAAACAATAATATTACCAGATATGTTATTCCTTTCTTCTTTTGAAATCTGGAATTATCGAACAGTCTTCCACGAATAATCTATTAATATAGCTATGATGTATGCCTTCACGGTATAAAAATATCCTTTATAAGAGGGAGAGAAAATTATTTCTCAACTCTGCAAGCGCTCTGTACAAAATAATTCCACCTTATGATCAAAAAAAAGACCACGACACAGCTTACACCTTGGCCATTTCTCAATCCCAGGCAAATTGAGAAATCCAGCTTATGGATTTCAAATATCCATGGCCCCTTTTTGCCAAGGATGGCATATAAAAAAACCTTCACTCGCACTGCTCTTGAACAGACTGAAGCCACCGGCGGCCATCTTAGTGTGCCAAACACAAAGGCGATTGTTGGCTCACTGTGCAATTGCAATTATTGTTTGCTGCAAGCCTTTGCATTACCTTTGCATTTGGCATGGTAAGATGGCTGCCGGTGGCTTCAATGACCAGTGTAGACTGACTAAGGGCACTGTGAGTCCAGATTTCTCTTATACGGTGTCCATGCTTTTTGCCTGCACATGCAACCTCTGCTAGGAAGCCACTATCTCTTTGAACGCACAATGCTTCAACATGGTGGCTGGCTTGAGCCACCGGCTAGCAATGAGGCAGGTCTTTTGACAAACCCTCCAACTTGACAACCAATACACCGATAACGTCTTTGTCCATGCAAGTAGCAACCTTCCCAACCCATCTGACTGACTGTATATGTGTAATTTTGTAAATTTGTCCGTACATGTACTTTAACCCTAACCCTCCTCAATCCTTCACCTGTTGGACGACTGACGAGTGTTAGGGTTAAGGGACCCCATTGGAAATAAGCCTGTGTAATTGGCTTGCTTGGGTTATCCCAGAATGAATCAACCGTATCTTGTTTTCTCTGTGTACGATTGTTGCGTAGTTGATTGATTTCTGAATAAAACAATAAAATAATAATTCTAAGTTTACCAGCATCATTCCATTTTCTTGTAGACCTTTAAAAGGAAAATCCCTGGAAAAACAAACTCGACCTAAATCCAACAGCACCCACATCAAAGAATTATTTAGCCCGTCAGTTAGCCAAAGACAGTAAGTCGGGTTCAATACGGTTCTAATGCACATGGCTTCTATGATTTCCTAAAAGATTCATCTGTGCCAGCGCTGCAGTATACGTCAGGTTGGATTTATTTTGGCATCATTACACCAGCCAGCCTATCTCCAGCTAAAGCGGTAGAACCCGCTGGGCCCGTACTATGTAACCCTTGGTCGTGATGATGCCACGGTTTTTGATGAGTGCTGTGTAGCGTAGGACCCACGACGGGTGCCAGCTGGCCCAGTCAGCCTGCTCTGGGTAGTGACCGCGCAGGACCTCTTGGAAGACCTCGGGGGGAAGGACATCTGGAAGAGCCGACAAGAGTGATTGTCAAACCCTTACTCTGGATATCAAAGGTTATGCGTTTGAAACGTAAGATCCTACTTCAAGGAAATCTGGAGTAATCTGGATCTGAATATTTATGTCACCAAAAAAGGTAAGTAGCTGAAGGAAAATAGTTAAAATTGGCTACGAAAGACAACGGCCCATTCGTCAAAGTTTGAGGTGGTTGTCAGGGGACAAATCCAGGGGGAAATTTTGGGACTGGGTGGTTGCAAAACAGGCAAAGCTGTGATTTTGGTCGGGATGTACAGACCTGGTTACATGACCTCCGCTCTAAGGTAACATAACTGCAAGAGGCAGTTCGGACAAAATCTCACGTTGGACACTCGCAATTATCGGTTTCTTTTCATTTGCGTACCAGTAAATTTCTCGGAGGCTCTGAAAGTTTCTCAAGAGGTGTTTGGCTTTTGTTTTTAAAATCTCGCACAGGTAATCAAAGAGTTCGGGGTCTGAAGATTTTACCAGTTTCTTCTACCGACAAACAAGCGGCTTTATGAATGCCGCGGACAAAAGTAGACCAGGAGAGGGCAGGGGTGATAGAATTTAACAACAGAGAAGACAAACACGGAAAGACTCCATGAGGGGAATTGAGAGCAAACTGCTCACCATCGGAGTCTGAATGGGACACCAGCTGGATTGTATTCTCGTTGGCAAACTCTTTGAGCGCAGGGGGGATGACGCAACACGAGGCTTGGTTCATCTGGTTGGTGGTAGGCTTGACCTTGACGATGAAACAAAACCCAGGGAGAACGTCGCCAAATGTTGGACTTGACTCAAGTTTGGTGATACCTATTTTGATCCGCTGTTTTGGATTGAAAACTGTGCAGAGTTTGAGACTGTGATGGCCAGCTGGTTCAGAATCGTTGCCCAGTTTTGGTGTTTTGCCCAAATGAGAAAGGTTACCCATTTTAGAATGGTTTCTACATGTAAGTCTGGTATGACACCCCTTTAGGAATGGTTCCTCAGTTTAAAACAGTTTGGAATGACTGCCCACTTTGGGACACTTCCCCAAGTCAAGACGGTCACGCAGTTTTAGATGATCACCCAAGCTGGGATGGTTACCCAAGCTGAAATTTTGTGTGCGTGTCCCCAGGCTCGTTACCTGAGCCCAGGAGTGCAGCTCCCTGAGCATGGCCAGCTCCATGTCGCAAACCCCCAGCGTCTTGACGTGGTCCTGCCGCACCAGCTCCTCCAGTTCCTGCCAGACGGGCTTGAAGTGCTCCACCGTCAGCTCCTCGTCGAAGGGCCTGGCCGGCATGGAGAGGAGCACGCCGTCCACTTTCTTAACGCTGAGCTCCTTGAGCACTGTGGGTTGGCCAGAAAAAAAAAAAATCACAGCTAAGAAATGACAACAGCTCCTTCTTTATATCTCCGTGTCTGCCTACAGTTTATATTAACCCTAACCCTCCTCAATCCTTCACCTGTTGGAGGACTGAGGAGTGTTAGGGTTAAAGGGTAATCCACTTGATACCTCAATTCTTCATAGTGAACAAAAGTGAACAAGATTGATTTCAAAACCAGTCCTTGTGCTATTTAAGGCCAAAAAAACAATTACCTCTGCTTCCGGTTTCCCGACCGACCCTAATTTTCTGACGCGACCCTTAAAGTTTTATTGGCAAGTTAGAAAAATAAATTTGAAATAATCCTGTTGTCTTTTTTGTCTTTAAAAAGCACCTCCGAACAACTGTTTTTCATGCTGAATGTTTTTAAATATGTTTTCCTGCTTACATTTGTAATTTTTGAAAAGAAACTTCCATTATTTTCACAAGTTCCCTTCGTGTTTCGCTGTCGCAGTGTTGAAGACACGTGTGCAAAGCTCAATGCATTAGAGTAAGGCTGCGCTGGTTCCCGCCCGCCGCATCGCATCCACGCAAAGAACGCAGGATGGAAACGTGCCAATCAGTCTACACTAACGGCATCATCACACAACTCTGGCCGTACACGCAGGGAACCCTACAGCTGTGCGTCGAAAAAATATCAATGTTGCGAGAAGATTTCTGCAAGTTAATTCAGAGAGTGTGTACTTTCTATCTTAATTACTATGAAAATTGACCATAATTCGTAAGAATTGTCGACTGTAGAAATGTGTACAATTTTTAATGCAAGTCTTTTTCACTTTTTGAGGCGATTTTGGTAGCTTTTGTCCCTGTTCATGCCATTCAATCAGCACAAAATATCGATCCCAACGGTCTGGTCCTCGCCTAGTCCCAAACGGTTATCTAGATAGTGCAATTGTTCGGGCAACGATGGTCCAACTTCAATTCCATTCAATGAAATATACAGTATTAGGTTCTACCTATATCCCACACTAGCGAAAACAAATCTTGTATGTTTTTTAACAAATCTAACTACAGGAAACCTGAAAGAAAAGTCTTTGCTTTTTGGCCATACTGTTTGGCATACGCAATGGACTGCCACAGTTTTCTCGTATCATCTTTAAGTCTGCTTTTCGGAGGGAATCTATGATCAAATAATTGAATTTAGTATTTCCACTGATTTTCAGCTCCAAATATTCCATTTCAAACATAAATATTTGAATATTCAATCACCGATTGAATATTTGTTCACTGGTGGATAATCTAAATATTATAATATTTAACACAGCCCTATCTTCACAGAGTTTATCATCGGACTCACCCATGGCAATGGCTTGGGAGGTGATTCCCTCATCAGCGTTGCTCAGCATCAACTTGACGGTGATCTTGATGTCGTCTGGAGTGGTGCAGCCATTGTACTCTATCTTGGGGTTGGGATCGGAGAACACCACCTCCTCACAGTCGTTCTTGGTGATGGCGTCCTGGAAGGGCGAGCTGGACATGGTCGACTTGAGGGCGTTGTTGAGAGCCATCTTGAGCTGTGCCGAGCCGAGAGGGAAAAGCGAATATAGAAAGTGATTCAACGATGGTCCATCAGCTTTGTAAATGATGAAATTGACAATGTGCAGAGACTTGTTCTCCGAGTTTTCTCGTTCCATTTATCCTTTCCAATCGGATTTGGACAAGTTGACTTCAGCTGTTCAAAGTCTGACCTCAGGTTTCAAGTCTCAAGTTGAGATGACTATGTACGCAAACTGACAGGGTTCAAAGGAAAATGAAACCTCAACATTGCTGGTAAAACAGCCAGGACCTCAATTTTGGGGATAAAACTGTGGGATAAAGACAAATCAATGAAACAAGATAAAATAGTCTTTTGAGGCCTTTCAACAGTGTTCAGAAGCATAAGCCCTTTAAAAAATGGCCAAAATTGTGCAACACTTCAACTTACAGTTTTTTGCACAAAATGCAAAACATCAGCAAACCCAACTGATAAAACGTCCAAAAAATCTAAAACATTTGTTTCAAATATCCCAAGATGCAGAAAAATCCTCAGAAAAAATTACTTTTCCAGTTTTGTTGTGAGCAAAATTTGTAGAACTCACTGGCTAGATCGTGAGTTAATTTGCCCATACAGTGTTCTGCTTGTGTTTGTGTGTTCAAGTTCACTATCAGCCCGAGAGAGAATCCACTCCGAGTCTCTTCGTTTACCTCATCTGTTGACGTCTTAGGGATAGTTTTCTTCAGATGGTGGTAATTCAGGATGTTGCCCGGGCTGATGTACATCAGTGATGCCCTGGGGAGTCTGGCCGGGCCCTCCGTTCCCATTGTCTGACAGTAGGAAGTAAGTTATTGATGTGAATCTACGGGGAGATTTGTTGGGTAGTTCTGGACAGCTGGAACAGCGCGATGGGGTAGCCAAGGTACTGCTAGGTCAAAGTTTGCTAAAATGCTGAAACAAAATTGAACAAGTGCATGTAACATGCCCGTCGTCCAATTTGGCTGATCCCAACCTATCATCATTGCACACGTTATAAGTTTGGACTCAGCCAAACTTAATTTCCCCAACCAATCTCCTCTAATCAACTTTAACTGCAAATGTCTTAGATGTAAAGCAAAACGTCTGAGTGCGGGCCTCGACCTTAGCACTAGATCGGCATACACGTTCTAGTAAGAACTACCGTGGGCAAGTAAAGTGTATTCTTCAGCTTGCTCGGCAGGCTCACGAAGAAATAAATACCTGTTTGAAACATAT